CGGTTTTGATCTCAGACATGAATTAAAAAGTGTGTAAACCACTTTACTTTATATATCACTCAATAGATAATTTCGAGGGCTACACAATAATATATAACATAGCCTTAAGAAAATGTAACTGGCTAGTGTAAGATTCGAAATATTCGCTAGCATCTCAGCAAACAGATAGGTCACCGTTGTTCATGTTTATTGTATCCATTGACTTTATCGTTAACCGGCCTACTTTTTTATATCATTCGATGGAGAATTTTACGGGCTTCAAAATGAGCTATGACTAGGTCTTTCAAAGATATGCCTACATGGGTCAATAGTCGGAATACTTGGCCGATATAATGATTTTCACCTATCTTAGTGCTTTAAACACTCGTTTAGTCATTTCTCTGCCATAATCAACAATTAAATATTTTTCAAAAACATACCATTGGATAGCCCTTGAAATTCTCTACAAAGTGAGCTGGTCAATGTATCCAGAAAGGTGGGACCAGTTATTAAAGATATGGAAAAGAAGCGTTTGAGTGCTATCTATGCTGTACAATATGTCCTAATCACAAGAACTCCTTCGTTTTTGGCGTTTTAGTAAAAGCTGGAACCAATCTGATTACTGTTTTGAATAGCCCGAAGAATCTTCTATCAGATGAGGTGCATATCGTCGCTTCATGGGAAATGTTGATAATAGGGTTTCTGTAAAAGTTGACCGCTGGAAAACCAAGTCTTTGGTTTTTGGTCAGAAAACTCTGCAAACCACATAGCCTGATAGAGCATTGAATTCCGAGGAAAATAAGATATCTCCCGGCTGTCTATATTTTTCATCGGCATGTTTTGGTAATTTTCATGCCCTTTGTAGCGATTGGTAAATCGGCTACAATTGCGTGAAAAAGCATTATAGACAGCCGGGAGATATTGTTCATTATGGCAGAGAAATGACTAAAGGAGTGTTTAAAGCACTAAGATAGGTGAAAATCATTATATCGGCCAAGTATTTCGACTATTGACCCACGTAGGCATATCTTTGAAAGACTTAGTCATAGCTCATTTTGAAGCCCGTAAAATTCTCCATCGAATGATATATAAAGTAGGCCGGTTAACGATAAAATCAATGGATACTATAAGCATCCATTGTTATGTCATAAGGACATAAGAACATCATATGTTATCATATGGAACTATTCTTCGTCCCTCCTGACGTCAGGTTTTTTTCTATTCTTCTTACGTCATAACCTGTTATTCCATCTGTTTCTCGGATGTTCAAATATCTTGAAATTTATATATAAATAGTTGTAGTTTTTACTGTGTTTTCATGTAGTTTTTTAGAATTGTTTTTTTTGCTATTGTCAAAGAAGATGACAAAAGACTATAATTATAACGGAAATGGAAAAGATAAAACAGGAATATGAATTGCAACTGGTGATAGAATGTATAACTATCAGTGTGTAATACAGACTGATAGTAGTCAGTAGGGAAAGAATTGTTATATATCGCCTTGGGATCCATCTGCAGGGCACGGCAATGCAGAAGTTTTTACCCGCACCCATTGCCTCACGTTCGTATCAACAGAGAAAAAGCAAATGCCACACAAAAAACGCAGTTTGACAATATAACGTCGCAAAAGTTTACTTGTAGAAAAAGACAGCTTTCAGTCTCAAATAAGGACACGATTGATCAAAAGAACACAAATCAAAATAACGCTTTTTTTTCAAGCAAAACGAATTATTTTACACATCCTGTAGATCGTAATTAATAGAAACATGTTCGAAAGCTGCTAAACCAAATTTTTGATTTAAGCTCGACTCATTAACCGATGAAATTGTGCTTTATTACTGCAGATCATCGTTCATTTATTTAACATTTAGACCGTTGTGATCTTCATATAACGAAGGCTTTTGTCACTGAGAACATTGGTCGCAGAATGGATAATTATCCTTTTTATAAAGCGCATTTCGCATTTGCTGATGTTAATTCCAACAGCGAGTATTATGAATTATTAATAAATATAAATAAATATAAATATATTAATTCTTAATACATATTTTTTGTTTCAGTTTCTATTCTTGATGTTGAGGTTGATGATGTCATTTATTAATGAATTTGCTTTTATTTTAGTGAATCCAGTATGTATCAACTATTAATTATTCTACATTCAGTTTTATTTTCCTTATATTATTTACAATTCAATGTTTTGGTATTTTCTAAAATATTAATCGATATCGATTCTACTCTTCACACTAACAAAAACAGATTTTAGGAAAATTATTAAGATTTCCTATGTTAAAAATGCAAGTTTATGTCCAGACTTTTTTTATATGTGGATTATGCTCGTTGGGGATAGTAAGGTGTTGAAAATTGTTGTTGTTGTTGTTTTTGCTGTGAATATCGAGAAGTATTCGTCGAAAAGCGGTAAGTTATTGAATAAAGTCGAGAGTTTTGTGAATAACCATAGTGATTTGGTTCATATGATGATTGCTACTGATATTGTGATGTATCATGTTCCACAAAATGTCATTCAAAGAGAGGAGCTTGTCAGAATATGTGAGAAGAGTGTGACCCGTGTCTTGAAGTGTACATAGTGTAAACGCTATTGATTAAAAAAAATGTTCAAAGAACATTCTTTGAGATCAAGAAACTTAACAGATCTTGTGCAGGTATAAACTTTCTGCACAACTTTAGCTACTTCGGCGGCTGATTTATTTTGTAAGGCAAAAGTCCAACAAAACTTTGAAAAATGATCAACACAATTCAAAATCCCCCGAAAATCAACACCACTTGAAATCGCATCTGGATGTGTACGCATGTCAATCAAGTCTATGTACAGTTTGTCATTATATAATGGGTTTTGATACAACGGGCTGTTTAGCTGATTTACGAACTTGAAAAACAACATAAAGTTTTAAAAATATTTTAATAGTAAACCTTAGTACCCAAGAAAAATGGGAATTCAATTCAGCAAGACTTTTATCTCTTCTACCATGTGATACACTCTCACACGATTCACTTAAAATATTAAACAGCAATTCACATATACATATAGGCTTTTGGTCTTCACACAGCACACAAGATCAACTCCAGCAAATTCTACAAAATTCTTTTGTTAAAAAGCCATAGTACTTTTACCTAGTCGTTCATTCTTTTGTCTATTTCAATTCCATTATCCTTATTATCTTTAAAATTCGTTTGTTCTATAGATAATATGATTGCATAACCGGTATCAGAAAGGAGAAGTATCTACTGAAAACCCCAAAACAAATGAGTTCTTATGATAAGGACACACTGTACTGCATACATAACACCTAAATGCTTCTTTTGCATATCTTTAATGACTGACCCCATCTATCTACATTTTCTGACCAACGCACTTTGTAGAGAATTTCACGGGCTATCCAATAATATTCTTTTGAAAAATATATAGTTTTTCGATAAGGCAGAAAAGACTTCTGAAAGAGTATTCTGCAACTATTTTCCGTAGTCCAACGCGTTTTTTGCATGTCTTTGGTGACTGGTCTCACTAGTCGAGACATTCTGACTAGCTCAGTTTGTAGAGAATTTCAAGAGTTAACCAATGGTATATTTTAAAAAATATATAATTTTTCATTATGACAGAAAAATGACTAAAGGAGTATGCTGAACCTGTTTTCTGTACTCCAACGTTACTTTTGCGTATCTTTGATGACTGGCCTCATCAGTCAAGATATTCTAATTAGCTCAGTTTGTAGAGAATTTCGAGGGCTATCTAATCTTGTATTTAACTGGTGTCCTCTCAGTTCGTCCCAAATTGAGTGAACGAAAAAAAGCTGATCATTGGTTTTTAGCTGCTGTTGGTTTGGCTTTAGTTCCCCGAACAATTATTGAGGACACATGGGCAGAGATCATGGATCTATATACACCCGATCATGCTGGTGCAACAGAATTCAATGATTATTTAGTCCAGACGTATGTTGATAGTGATGTCAGTTTGTTCAATGCACAAACGTGGAATGTTAATGATGCAATCCAAAATAATTTACCACGAACCAATAATCATGTGGAAGGATATAACAAGCGTCTGGAAAGTAATTTTCCTGTTCATCCTCATATTTATGAATTTGTTCGATTATTACGTGATGAACATTCGTTCCAGCATCATCAAGCTGAAGCAT